CAAGAGGAAGAGAAAAAACAAAAGATAACGATCATCATCGAAAACTACTTTTGATAAAGATTAAAGTTCGTCTCGTTGTTTTGATGTTTTTCATGAAAACACGTTCAACTAAACGTCTTTCTCAGATGCCATGCTAAGAATCTTATCATTGATTATGGAAAGACATTGTGTTCCTCAATATTGCTCAGATCAAGTCAGATAAGTAATTATCGAATCCGGATTGACATCAATACATTTTTACTGCTGTGCATTACCATGACTTTGCTTGATTTTTTTTCTTTTCTGTTAACTCTATTGAAAATATGTGCGAATGATTGCATCGGTTTAGCTCTGAGAGTGGAACTGGGCGTGAGTGTCGATCGGTGCAGAGAAGATTAACATCCACTCTTGAACAGTACATACAATACATCAATAGTAGATATCAACGCAATTACACATAACAGTCAGATTTCTTGACTACAGAGAAATACAGAACCAAACATGGAAAAACAAGATTGATCGTTTTGACCAATACTATGAAAGAAAATTATCAAGTAAAACAGTGTACATTAGTATATCGCATCACACTCGTCTTATTCAGAATCGTAAACTGATTCCAACTCTAAATTTAAAATAAAATAACTGTTTTTATAAATAAAGCTCATCGTATTTCAAGTCAGTGATCTGCTTCGATCACTATGCTTGAATTTATCAAGCTTTCTAGTAAGACAAAACCAATGTTTCATTTCGATTCATTCATTCGAAATTGTCGAAGTCGGAATTATCTCTGAAAAACAACAGGAATATGATACTCACCATTCTACTGGTTGTTTTCCAACGAAGTGAAATACACTTGATAACTACGAGCATAAACAAAATATCTTTAAATGCTATTAGCCCGATAAAGTATTGAAATTTTTCCATAAGTTTTGCCAATCGGCACTAAAGTTATTCACAAAAAAGAAAGCAATGAAAAATTTATTGGGCTTTTATAATGAAAGTTTCTGTTTCACATGAGCTAGAGACATTGCTATTTTCGATCAGCTGTACTACGGTACAATAAATCAGAATCCGTCTAAAAAGCTGCAAAAAACAATCACAAAAATATTTACTGCAAGGAGCGCTTGTAATATCAATTTACTTCATCGTAATCAAAATAATTTCGCATACAACAGTATATACCAAATAAAAGCAAAAAAAAAACATTTTTCTGTCAAAATTTGATATCAAAGAGATTAAGTGCTTTCAAGTAGCACTTATCGAAAATACACCCACTTCTATTCTTTTCGATCGAAGATAGTCTGTTGATAATTTCACTCTCACTTGCTCACTATAAATATCAGTGTTAAGATGTGAAGGGGTATGATTGATAAAAAAGAAGAATCACAGTAACAATGCGTCTACCATTTGTCGTACTGTTTGTGAATATTGTCCTGTTCGCACCAGCATATAGTTGTATTGCAAAAGCGAATCCAAGTTTAAATATACGCAGTGCACCATCGGCTACTGCATCCATCGTCGGTAGTCTTTTGCAAGGTACAACAGTTTCGTGTCTGGAAAAACAGAACGGTTTTTGTCGTGTGGGTACAAATCGATGGGCATCAGCGGAGTATATCAATTGTAATACAGCAGCTTCAGATGGGTTCGAGAAAAAAGCACCTGCTGCCGATTATACACGCAAGACATGGCGTGGTGTCACACTCAATCAACGTACAATTGAGATGATCCAACGTGCTGAAGTCTACATGGCACAAATGGGAAAATCAGGTTTTCAATTTTCATTTAGTCAAGGTTCGTATTCATCCAGTGTAACTGCTAGTGCCGGTACGCATGATGGTGGTGGTGCCATAGATATTCGAACGTCTGTTGTGAATAATGATAAAAAAACAGTTGATACAATGGTAGTAGCTTTACGAAAAGCAGGATTTGCTGCTTGGTCACGTGGTCGTGTAGCAGATAGTTTCCAGAATAACAAACATATTCATGCAATTGCTATTGGAGATGTTCAAGCATCGACAGGTGCAAAGAATCAGATTGCAAGCTTTAAACGAGGTCGCAATGGACTCAAAGGCGATGGAGTTGATCCAGATGCCTATTTAGGTCGAGCTACACCAACATGGGCACAATAGACGATTTGTCTAACATTTTTGTTCTTTTTGTTGTGCATGATAATAAATGTCAATATTGGAAAATTATCCTAACACAAAATACATTCGTTCGATCATTGATGAATTTGATTGACTGGGCATTGACTCATCGTATATATTCAAGCTTCTTCGACGTCTATTGTGAATTAAGAGAATGTCTTTGCAAAGTTATGTTGGTCCTTATATTAATCATCACACTTGATGATGGTATAAAAGATCGTATTCCAGAATCGCTTGTAGTCAATGGTGGTGGTGCAGACTGCGATATACTAATTAAAATTGTATAGTCAACAATCTTTTCATTTGATTCAGTCATACTAGTTAGGAAGAATAATGACAGTCACTATTGCTTGTTTGCTGCGAAGATCAATATTAAATGCATATTTCCTTTATTTTCTACGATTCTTTTAGTCAAATGATCGAAAAATTTATTTGATTCAATTGAAATCTAATCAAAGAAAATTCAGCGCTGACATATATCCGCATTGAACTTATGTTCGATACAGATATAGTAGTAGGTTTTCTGTCATTAAATATTTGAAGATTTCAAGCGCATTATTCGCTAGTCTCATTTCAGCTAGATAAGTAAGGAAAAAACATCCATAGGTGGCGACAAGATCAAGATATGTCGAATCTAGTTTGAGCGGTTGTTTGTACTAAAGTTGTTTCTACATGTTTCTTCCACTTTTTTAAACATATGAGCCTCCTTTGGAAATGGCAATGTAAATTTGTATTTCTATTGAATTTCTTTTAGTAAAATGAAAACAAGAAAAAACGTGGTTGAAATATTTGTATCCATTTCTTGCACCATCATAAGATTAATCTTCCCTTATTACTGTGACGTGTGATATTCGTTTTGACATTGCCGACAATTTCTTTAAATGAAAAATATCTTCACATGATTATCTTCCAAATGGGATATCGCTGTTTGGACGAGTGCTGCAGGATCACCACTTTTTTCCGTTTGTAATGCTTTGACTGATCGAATAGAACGATTGTACATTTTTGACTTATCTATTCAAAGAGAATCATTCCATGGTTTCTCGAACCTGAACTACGAAGGAAGAGAATCCCCCAGACCGATATCCACATCACCACCCCCGCCCACACCCATACCTGCCTACACCACTCACCCACATCCACACTCTTCTTTTACACGATCGTGGCTGTTTCTTTAACTATTCCACTCATTGTTCTTATTTGACAAAAGACATAGCTACATATACGTATATCCTATCGATTTCATCGATCTTCAGTCCACTCAAGCACAAAATCGGCTCGTAGCGATCGAATAAATATTACTCAGCTCAATTTGATGTTTTTCAATATGAGAAGTGTAGATCATTGGGAGAAATCTATCATCTAAATTACAATCCTAAACACTAGAGTCACGTAGAAGTAGAATACGGACTTTAGGCTTGAATCAAGTCGTCTGAATGTGAGTGAAAACAAGAACAACGTGCATATCCATACCTTCGCGCACATACAGTCTCATGAAAATGGCGACAAATCAGGTAGCTGAAGATGTGAAGCAAAACGGATTTTTCGTTCACAGCAAATTTTTTCTTTAATAACACCTTGTTTCATTTCCAACAACTTATTTCGCTTACAATACCTTATTTCTTGGATCTTTTTTCAATGATGATGCAATAATAGATTTTCTTTAAGCATTCCTTGCTCGCACTAGGTGTGTAAGTTAAAAAGTATGTTGTTTGCACATTGTTTCATAGCGTCTTTGCACTTTACAGTTTAGAATCTTAATTTTATCGGGCATTATGTCAATTGCGACTTGCTGAATACGGACAAAATGTGTAAAAATAAAAATACAATCCAACACAGAGACACTCAGACGAGAGCAAGTTGAATGAAAACAAAATTTTCGAGGAAAAAAAGTTTTCAGTTACGCAATGACTGCTTCAGCAAATTTGCAAGACATTATTTGATATTGTCGTTGAAAATAGAAAATCTACACTATATCAATTCCAACCGAGAGAATGACTAATGAAAGTAATCTACATTGATGCTGCATCATTTCAGTATTGGCCGACAAAAGTCCAATTCCTATTGCTCGCAATTTGGCTATATGATAAATATAATGCAGAATATCCATCCCTGCAATAATCATTAACACGATTTGGTTCGACATTGTTTTTTGTAATACATCATTGTTGTCAGTAATGCGCTACACTGGTAGCATTTTAACTGACCTTTCTCAACTTGATTTTCTATGCTGAACGATAAATTATGATTCTGCTTCATATTTTCAAATTGACTATTGATGTCATTTATCTTGTTTTTCAATTCTTCTAATTTACTAATTTCATGCATAAGACTCTTCTCAATTAGCTTCAAGTTTGTTTGAATCAATCGGAAAATTTCCAGGAATTTTAGCGTTTCTTGACGCACTTTTTCACTGTCGCCAAATAGGTCATATTTTTCTATAACGATATACATTTCATTATTCAATCGAACTAAATCTGAATAGCTTGAACAGGAATAGTTTATTTTATCGTTGAATATATAGCAGGAATGAGCATCATTTGCATTGATGACTTTCATGAATTTATTATTGTATTACCACATTCTTCCACTTGTTTTTCAGTAACATCAAATTTAAAGCAATTATTTACCATTGATTGAGTGATATTATATTGAAATCTATTGACAATGGTTCTATCATTGATACGTTTAGTTGTTTCGTCATTTTCTTTTTTTATGCTTTCAACTTGTCATAGAATATCACTCAATGTTTGCCGATTTTATAAACTATGGGAGTGACCATGTGTATCTAAGGGGATAGAATTGGTTTTTGTTGCTGATTACAAAGCATCTATACAAAATTCTTTTCTGTATTTTTTTATTGGCAAAATAAATATGATACTCAGACCACCTGATAAGTATGTGAATGTTGACGCAAATGTAGTTGTGAGACATGAATAAGAATCTTTCTATTGTCAACATCGACGTCATCCTTATCACCCTTTGAAAATAACAAGATTCGAAAGACAAAATAAGGTTATATATTAAATCAGAAAAATTAAATTTTAACCATATTTGAGGGTATGGTGTGGTATGGTGAGTGTGGGTTAGACATGTACCAAATCCAATTCCAATCAAATCCAATTCTTAGATCTGACAGGATGTGACTGAAGTTGGATCTCGTACATCCCTAGTGTAGGTGGTAGGTGTGGATGTGGGTGTAAGTGTGGGGATGGGTAGGGATGGGTGGGGATGGGTGGGGATGGGTTGGATGAATCTGAATCTCGGTGTAGACGAAGAGAAGAATCATTCTCTTACACATCCACACTCACATTCAAAGTCACAGACAGGCCCACACCCTAATCTGTTACAACTAAAGTGAAATTTTACCGTGCATTTGCAATTTATTCCTAAAAAATTTGAACAAACAGTAGCAGCTAGTTCGAGAAAATGTAAAAAAGCCCAAAAGAACTTATAGAACATCATAAAAATTAAGAGATCTACGATTCATAGCAAGTGTCCAGATCGATGTTGCCACCACATTTGGTAAATTGGTTGCTTTTAACACCATCATTGATACTGTATTTGTTAATGTAGCATGCACCTGTTGTTTCAGTAAAAACCCGACAAAAAATTTGTACCGCATTACCTTCAAGAAAACAGAACAATTATAAATGTTCAGGCAAATAAGTAGATGACAACATACTACTTAAAACTTAGTCTCGAGATTGAATTGGTTAAACGAACAAAGAGTTAAAGTCACAGTGAAAAAGAATGAATAACAAATGTCGATATGAGAGGGAGAGGAATATGATAAAATAAAAAGAATGCTATATATAAATATATTCTCATTGATTATTTGATAATAATTTGTTTAATAATTCAGTAATTAATCCTAGTAATACCGGCCGGGGTCATTTTTGACCTCAGCTCAAAAATCGAAAAATACCCTAGAAATATTTTGTTTTTTCTCGGCTTTTAGAAGCAATTGGCATTCATTACGAATGGATCCATGTTGTTGAATCGAAAAAGAAATACATTTGTTTCCATATCATTACAAGTCTTTGATACAAGACCATGTCTTCAGCATACAACAAACATATCACAAGAAAGGAGAAAAAATAAAACTTACAATATATAATCCAATGACTCATTTACTAATGGAAGTGGACATATATTTCCAACCCATTAAAAACATTTTTCTGAGTGATTTCGAGCTATCCAATTACCATAATAGATGATTCATCATTGTAGATCAAAGGTATAACTTGCCTTTTCTTTCTGGTTTTATATTTTTTGATTAATGAGATTAAAATATCATATTGAAAGCTTGTAAAACCATGAAGGAGATTATTTTTTTTATATCCAACTGTCCTTACCAGTTTATTGCTTCAGCTAATGCTAGTTTATCTAGTGCTTCTTCATTTACTTGTGACTTCTAGACTTGAAATTTTTTTTCGCATATCATTGGTATTCAAGTGTTCGCATTATTATAACAACGATTATGGACAATTCGATTATAGATGAAAGTGATAACGATTATTTTATTGACCAAGAGAGTGGCTCCGAAATAGAAGATGGCGAAAGTCAAACATCAGAAGATGATGACGAAATTAATTTAGAAACCCTTAAATTAGATGACCATTCCACGCGGAAAAGTTTATATAATTCCAGCTCTGGGATGACCTGGTCTTCAATCCCTCAGCATTCAACGAAAACAAATTCTTCAAATGATATGATTGAAAAAGCTGAACCTACCGAAATTACTGATGATATTTCATCCATTGAACATGCATTTATTTGTTTTATGTCGGAAAAAAAAATATAGAAAATTTTGATTTGTTCCAATAGGGAGTATACTCGGAACATCGCTTCTAATGAAAAACCAGAAGAAATAACAATGATGGAACTAAAAGCCTTTATGGGCCTTTTATTACTTGCTGGTTTATTAGAAAAATCAAAGACAAACTTAAAATGCTTATGGAGAAGAAGTCCATTAGAGTCTCCAATATTCAAAGCCACTATGTCAAGAAATCGTTTTGAAAAAATTATGTCCTGTCTACGATTCGATGATAAAACAACAAGAGAAGAAAGAAAAAAAATAGATAAACTTGCAGCAGTTCATGAAATCTTGTCATACTTCGAAAATAATTTAAAAATATGTTATACACCAGGATCATATGTTACCATTGATGAACAATTATTAGGCTTCAGAGGAAAACGTCCTTTTCTTCAATTTATTCCAAAAAAAAGCCTGATAAATATAGTTTAAAATTCTGGTTATGTGTTGATGTGGAATCATGTTATGTATTTAATGCTTTTCTTTACATTGGACGACAATCGGATCAAGAAAGACAACAACATGTAGGTGCCAATGTAGTTTTAGAATTGCTTAAGCTACTATATGGTTCAAACGGAAATGTTACAATTGATAATTTGTTTACAAGTGTTTCATTAGCCAAAGAACTTCAAAAGAAGAATTTCACTCTTATAGGAACACTGCGAAAAAATGAACCAGAAATCCCTATATAATTTCAGTCAAATAAAATCGCGAAGTTGATTCTTCTCTTTTTGATTTTAAAGATGGTCTAACTTTAGTTTCATTTATGCCGAAACTAAATAAAGCTGTTGTATTGCTTTCTTCGAAACATTACGATAGTCAGATGGATGTAAAAACTGGAAAACCAATCATTATTATGAATTATAATAAAACAAAGGGGACTGTCGACACTGTTGATCAGATGTGTCATAAATATACGGTAAAAAGAGGTACAAAGCAGTGGCCGCTTGGTATTTTTTATGGGATGATAGACATTGCCGCTATAAATGCTCTAATTGTATGGAAGGTGAAAAACCCACAATGGAATCGGGATAAAAGATATCAACGTCGATTATTTATAGAAGAATTAGGACTCAGTTTAGTATCGCATCTTCTGGACTTTCGCTCAAAAACCTCCAAATTTTTGAACAAAGATATTCAAGATACATTATCTATTGTCGGTTATGCTGTGATGAAGAGTGATATATCCGATTCAAATGAAAATTCTACTCAATCAAAACGAAAACGATGTTCGCTTTGTGAACATTCTATGAACAAGAAAACTTCAACTAAATGTTGTAATTGTTCTGAGTTGGTTTGTAACGAACATTCTTTTATACGTATTTTTTGTATTACTTGTTCTGAATAAAGAATATCATTTCAATAATTGTTTTCTATCAGATCGGATATGAAAAACAGCATATTTTATCAGGAGACTGATCCAAAAGTAAAAAAAATTACTTCGTCGTCTTGAACAAGTTCAAACTATACCATTTTTATTAATTGATGAAGCTTATTTGTGGTACGTAGAACATACTGATTTAATCACCAGTTTTGAATTATTTAGTAAATTATTTCGTCAACAATACTCATCTACATCATCAGCAAAACAAAATAATACATCTGTAGAGACGGTTGCTCCGTCAATTACTGCTCCACGTTTTTTATCTATATCATCACATCTACAGCAAACGATCGTTGATGAAATTATTAAAAAACCAACATATTTTCGTGGTTCAAAAGATGATGTTTATGATTGATTAGACAAATTAGAACAACTTTTTAAAATGGCAAAATGGAATGATGAAGAAAAATTACAATGTATTTCAGTACATCTACAAGATGATGAATCTTGATGGTAGACACAAGCATCCATATCGATTAAAACATGGTCATCATTTACTGAAGCTGTTATAAAAGCTTTTGGATCAACAAAAGTACAAGAATTAGCATTCGAACAATTAAAATGGTACAAACAAACAGTTAATCAACCTGTTACACAATATTATGATAAAATTATAGAACTGTGCAAAAAAGTTGATCCAGCTATGCTTGATTCATTGAAATTAAAATATTTAATGGCTGGTATAAGAGAATCATTAAAATTACATGTTGCTTTACAGGATCCAAAGACAACTGATGCATTTTTATCGCTCGCCAGAAAAATTGAAGATACATTATCATTTACTACTACAGATAATGAAATGCAACAAAAGGAAATTAACATCAATGCTACTACTACTCAAAAATCATTAGAACAAACAATTGTTTCACAAAAATCACAAATATTCCACAAAATATACCCTCACAAGAGCAATCGCAATCACGTCCAAATTATCAACGTACTATGCAAACTGTGTGTAAAAAAACTCAACATTATGAACCTTCAAGATATTCTCAATATTCACAACGATCAAATTGTTGTTATAAATGTGGTACTCCTGACCATTATGCTCGGGATTGTACCCGTACCAATTTCGAGTAAAGGAGGCAATGATGGATGGTGTTGCTTCCAATAGTTTACATACAAATCCATCGACTCTAAATACATCGGTACTTGTTTGTTATCGTCCCGCAATTTTTATTTTTATTTTTTAATATTATCGTATCCTTTAATTTTTTATCTTTTCATCTTATTATCATTCCTATCATGCCCGTATTATGACTAGTGCATATTTCCTTTCTTTCTATTATTGTTGTGATGCCAGCATGTATGTGATTTCATCTATATTTTCTTTCGTTCTACTACCATGCATGGATGAATGTATGTATGGTTCTAGTATATTCAAGTGCATCCTTTCTTTCCTTTCTATCTCTATCTTATATATATTGTTCATGTAGATCTCCCTAGTAGGTTCTTTGCTCTCACGTATATATACCCGTCTGTTAATCAATAAAAATGTATGTGTGAAGATAAACTTTGTCTTGACTAGTAGATAGTACGTGGCAGATCATCACATTCTGTACACATTTTCATCATGAATTTTCTACGTTTGTCTGAACAAATTCCTGATGAAGCTTCAAGTGCCAAATACCTACAACAACATGGAATAATACAAGCTCAAATATTTTGCAAGAATAACTACAAGATAAAATTGTCCTTGGGTGCTAAAGATCGATGGCGATGCTACTTAAGTGGATGTCGTTAAGATAAAAGTTTACGCACAAATAATTGGTTAGTTGGTTCGAAGTTTTCTCTTCGAAAAGTCGTTTTATTCATTTATTCTTAGTCGCAAAAGAGGACATCGGTGAAATTTTTAAAAGATGACCTTGAAATCGGTCAAAACGCTGTCGTGGATTGGAACTACCACTTAAGAGAAGTGTGTGCTTGGAAGCTTCAACAGACACAAATGATAATTGATGGACCCAATACCACTGTGAAGATCGACGAAAGTCTCTTCAGTCGAAGAAAGAATCATGTTGAATGTGTATTGCCGTAGCAATGGATCTTAGGTGGAATTGGTCGAGAAACTCGTGAGTATTTTACGGAAATCGTTTCAGATAGAAGTGTAGCCACGCTTCTTCCAATCATCACCACTCGGATCAAACCCAGAACAACAATCATAACAAACAAATGGCGTAGTTACAACGGATTGGCTTTATTCACCTTACTATCAATAACAAGTGCAATTTCGTAGATCCACAAAGTGGAGCCCACACGCAAACTATCGTTAGAGCTGGGCGAGGTCCGAAGAATGAAAACAGGAAAAGACAAGGGA